GAGTCTGCACATATCGAGAGCCACACACACATGTGTAATGTCTCGCTCTCACGACGCGTGGCGCGACGATCACACCCGACCCCGGAGTCCCAAACACGTGCCCTATACTCGGCCTGCGTGCCCCCAGCCTGCGCATGGATACACTACTTGACTAGTTCCCAACGCACTGCGCAGTGCGCGGCGGCGCGGTGCGTTGGCGGGTTCCCTCCGCAGGGGCCTGCAGCTGCGATCTCTCGGCCGCTCAGATGACCCACATGGCACTCGTGGGGCGAGTGGAGACGGGCGGCGCCCCGTCCTTGCCGCAGGAGTTTCGAAGGCACATGCTGTTCTCCTCCTCGCCAGCCGCCCCCTCAGGCGGATCCTCGCCCGCGATCCACGCCACGCCCTTGCGTCGCGGAGCTGCGGCTGGCGACTTGCTCGCCGGCGGCTCGGCAGCGGGGGCGCGAGCGTCCTCTTCCTCCTCCTCCTCCGGCAGCTCCTCGCCCACCACCCACATCACCGACTTGCGAACTGGAGCCCTCCGCGGCAGGACGTCGACCGCCGGACGCTCGGCCGGAGAGGCCTCGTGCCCTGGCGGCGGCAGCAAGGGCGGGGCTTCCCGCCGACCGCTCGCCGTGCCGCCCGCGACGAGGCTGCCGCCTCCCTCCGCCTCGTCCTCCACCGACCCCACCGCTGGCCTCGACCACTCCTCCTCCGCCTCCTCGCGGGACTCCTCCTCGCGCCCCGCGCCGCCGCCGCCGCCACCGTGCTCCGCCGCCTGCGACAGGCTGCTGCTCGGCGGCGGCTGCGGCGGAGCGCATGGCGCGGGCGCGGACGAGGGGGCCGCCGCCGCGGAGTCCGGCGGTTTCGTCATTTCGGCGGACCCCCGGGGGGGGGGGGAGGTGGTCGCGGCTAGCGCCGCTGCCGCCGCCGCCAAGGCTGCCGCCGCCAGCTCGGCCGGGCGCGGTGCGTTGGCGGGCGGAGCTGGCGGCGGAGGCGCGGCAGCCGGGGGCGGCGGCACCGGGGTCGGCGGCGGGAGGGAGCTGCCGGCGCGGATGATCCGGATCAGCTCCTCGTCGAGCGGCGCGTTCCGGTGCGCCGCCGCGAGGAGCCACGGCAGCAGCAGCTCGACCGAGCCGGCCGAGGCGCCGAAGCCGCGGAGCGAGGCGGCGGCCGAGGCGGCGGAGACGGGTGCGCCGCGCGGAGCGAGTGCGCGGTGGAGCGGTGCGAGGAAGAGGGAGAGGAGCGAGCGGGCGGCCTCCGACAGCGCGTCTCCGTCGGCCGGCGGGACTGTGACCGGAGGCGGAGCAGCTGCTGCCGCCGAGAGGGCGGCTTGCGGCGGCGCCCTGTCGGCCGGTGCGGGCGGCTGCGAGGGCTCGCTGCCGTGCGGCTTGCTCTGCCCGGGGCCGGGCGTTTTGCGTGGTGCTCCCGCGCCTGTCTCTCGGCGCTCGCCCGCCGCCGCGCCAGAGCCGCGCCGCCGCTCGTCTGGCTGCGGCGGAGACGCCCAGCTAAAGAGCTCCGCCGTGGTGGCCACCGGTGCCGCCTTTGGTACGCCGGCGGCGCGCACCGCCTGCTCGTAGGCGGCCTTGGCCGTCGCCACCGCCGTCGCCCCGGCGGGCTTGGCGGCGCGCTCGACCGCCCTCTCGTACGCGCGCGCCAGCTGCGGCGTCCTCCCTCCGCTCGGGGAGGGGGCGGAGGACTGCTGGACCGCCCGCTCGTACGCGGCGGTGAGGGGGGACTTGGACGGGGTCGAGGAGCGCGTCCCGTTCGCCAGCGCCGCCTTTTGGTACGCGCGCGCCACCGACGCCACCGACGCCACCTTGGCCACACTCGGCAGCGAGCGGCGCCCAGCGGCGGGCGGCTTGCCGGCGGCCTCGCCTGGCGCCGCCCCCTCCCAAGAGAAGAGGTTGGCCGGCTGCGAGGAAGGGAGGGTCGCCCCCGCCGCCACCGCGGGCGGGGCCACGCGCGCCGGAAGACCCTCCCGGGGCGGAGGGGTGCCGCTCGCCGCCGCCGCCCCCTCCCAAGAGAAGAGGTTGGCGGGCTGAGACGAGCCGGCAGGAGCGCCCGCCGCCACCAGCTCGGCCGGCGCCTCTTGCGCCTCGGCCGCCGTCGGGAGGCACTCGCTCTCCAGACCACACTCGCAGCTCGCCTCGCCCGGCTCCGGCACGTCTTCCAATGCGCGCTCCGCCTCCGCCTCTTCCTCTCTGCCTCCTCCCAGATCGCCCTCCTGCGCCTCCTGCGCCGGCTCCGCCGCCACCGCCTTTGGCGCCTCTGCCTCAGCCTCGGCCGGCGGCGGTGCGCTCGCGTCGAGCGCCTCCGCCTCAGGAGCAGGATGCGC